GCCCCCAGCGCCAGGGAGGGGGTGTCCAGCACAGATCCAAGAAATCCGCGCGGAGCGCCAACAGTTTCTGCTCATGGCTTTGTTCTTTTTCGAAACATGGATCAATGGGGGCGTGGAGCAGTGACGGGCCCCGTTTCCGCGGGACAGCGCGGGTTGCCGCCGCTGGGCGAGGCGGCACCGGCCTCATTTTGGGGGAGGGCACCTCCCCCGATCCATGGATGTGGCGACCGCGCGCGCGATCCACGGATCGCTAGTCCATGCCTGCGCGCCCCCGGAAGAGGGAGGGGCACCTCGCAGCGCGGAGGGCTCTCCGTCGGGAGTGGCCGGGGCGGCCAGCCTGCGCGGCGTGCGTGTTTTTGTATTGCTCCGGGCGGCGCACAGACCCACATCCTTCGGAGGCCCCGAAGCAGGGCGGTGACCACACCGTGCGGTGAGTCGGTGGGGATGCGGGGTCACCGCACGGGTTTTTGGTGCTCGGGTCGCTCTCCGAGGACGTCTCGGGCGGCAGGGGCCTCCAGGGTCCCAACGCCGTGCGGTGACGGACCGTGCGGTGCGGTCGTGGGGGACTTCGAGGTCACCGCACGGCGTGCCACCGCACCGCTTCGGGACTCCCAAAGTCCTCTTGAGTGGTGGCAGAGATCTCACGGCGGGAGGTTTTGTGCCAGCTTCGGCCTCTGGAGGCCCTTGCCGGGGCCCGGGGCCGTCGAAAAGCGCCCCAGGGGTGACAAAAGCCGGTCCCGGGCGGGGTTGGTCGAGAGACCTTTGTGGGGTCGACGCTGTGAAGCACATCATGACGTCGGGGGTCGGGGGACAGCATAGTCCCAGCTGGCTTCAGCAGGCTCCCTGGGGGGCAGCCTAGTCCCAGCTGGCTTCAACGGGCCCCCCGAGCAGTCCCAGCTGGCTTGCCTCCACAAGCCAAAAGTCGGGCATGTCTCTCTACAGGAGGAATATATTCCCAAATAGTTTAAAAACATCTAGTAGTCTGGGGGCGATTTTTCTAGCATTCTTGGACTGATCTTAAGTTCTCGCCCAACATCCGCCTGCAGGAGGACATGCCCGACCTAACGCAAGCCCCCCGGAGTAGTCGGGGGAGGCCTCAGCGCCTCAACGCAGGGGTGGTGCGCAGCGCCCGGGTCGGCGCCGCCAGAGGTGGCGCCGGGGCTGCTGGAGGCCAGTTGAGGCTCCTCGGGGGGCCTGCTGGGGCCAGCTGCGGGCAATAGTTATATCCATATTCAGTGCGTCTTGGATTTTCTTGGAAGGGGCATCGCAAGGCCGCGGCGCACTGGGTATGGACAAACATCGAGCCTCTATAGGGGCCAGATTCGTATCCATATCCAGTGCGCCTCGGGGTGCTGGGGAAGGGAGCCCGAAACTCCAAGCTGCAGTGGATATGGACACAAGTCTTGCCCGCACCAGCCGGGTCTACCTGGGGGGGCTGTCGGTGCGCCGCCCGGAGCCGTTGCTCAAGCAGCGGCGAAGCGTCCTATAGCTTGGCCTGTAGGCCCACCAAAGAATGTTCTGAGAACGTCTTGTAGTCTGCACGAAGTGCTTTTAGAGCATTTCTGGCTGAGACTGTTTTGTTTCAACACGTGGGGCTTACGTTCTCAGAAAATTTGTTGTGGGTTATTAGAACATTTTTGGATTCGAAGAACATTTCGTGGTAGGCCTATAGGCATTTTGTGATAGGCTTATAAGAACAATCAATCCCTACTCAACTTACCAAAAAGTTGGGTCGGAAGTTTCGGGGGGCTCTAAAAAAGGAGAGTGTGCACGATTGAAAACCACCCACTCTCAGAACTCAGAGCCAACATCGCCACGGCAATGCTTTTCTGTAGGCGCTCGATTCGATTCGGCCAGCGTTTGGGACCCGTGAGGGACCCGAATACGTTATTCGCGCAACAGGTGTGGACCTCGTGTGGAGCCTCCCGCGTGTGGAACCCGCATAGAGTTCAAAATGCCGTGTGGAACCGCACGGGGCCAGAACGGTCTGGCCCCGTCATCCAAGCTGCTGCGTGTGAGAGTCCATGGGGCGAGGGCAACCAGACCACGCCACTCGGGGCCAGTTCTTGAGACCGCAAGTGAGACACCCTGAAGTACAATCCGTGTTTGGGGAATCGTGGCTCCCGCGCCAACTGCAACCGTCCAGCCCTCGCGCGGAGGGAGACGGAGACGGCTGAACATCGCCGAAGGCCGACTGGTGACACGGGAATCCTGGCCGAACGCGTAACGAGTCTTCGGGGGCGCTGGGTATTTGGTCTTGAAATCAGGAATTTGGTTTGTGAATTCAGAAGACTGATTTTTGGAATTCAAAAACTTGGTTCTTGAATTCAAAAAGAAAAGGATGTTGCATTCACGAGCTGGTGTTTGGCGCCTGGCGGCGCTTCGGCCCTGGGAGCACCTCGAGGGGCCACCCGTCGCGGGCCAGATTTTTCCCGGGCGAGGGCAGGTTCGGGCCCTGCATTCCCCTCCTCCTCCTCCTCCTCCTCCTCTCCTCCTCCTCCTCCTCCTCCTCCTCCTCCTCCTCCTCCTCCCCATCCTTCTCCTCCTCCTCCTCCTCCTCCTCCTCCTCCTCCTCCTCCTCCCTCCCCCTCCGCTTTCCCCCAATGCACTGCCCACACTAAGGGGCTCTCGCATCGCTCCTGCGCCGTCGGCCCTGCGGCTCTGGGCTTCCCCCCCGCCGGGGCGGCAGCCCCCCCATGCGGGCGCGCCGCTCGCGCGGTGGCGCCACGTCTGGTGGTCTGGGCGGCTCGGGGTCCTCGGCCGGCGCGCGCCTCGTGGGCATCTCGTGGGCATCCCGTGCGCCGGCCACGCCGCGCGGCGCGCGCAGAGATCCCAGGCCACGCCTCGCGTCGCGGAACAACTCGCGGCGGAGGTGTTTCGCTATGTTTGGCCTCCGGGGGCCCTGAACGTGGCCTCGGGAACGTCAAGAAACGACTCGGGATGGAACAGCGGTCTTGGTGAAGGGGTCCAGACCTCTGGGGGTCGAGCCTGTGAAAGAGATCACGACGTCGGGCTTTCTGGGTCTGCACTGCAGAGATGACACCACCACGATCGCGCCACACAACACGCGAAGAAGAAGAAGAAGAAGAAGAAGAAGAAGAATAAGAAGAAGCAACGCTGTGAACATAATCGTTTTGCGCTCCGCGCGGGTCTCTTGGATCCTCGTTGGGTCCCCCTCGCGCGACCGAGAGAGTCCAGCGTGGATCCAAGAAATCCGTGCGGAGCGCCACATGTTCATGTTTATGCCGTTTTTTCTTCTTCTGACTAGGCACCCACCGTATTGCATTTCGTAGACTGCTACACGTAGGCTGTGCCACATGGTTCACAGATGGTGCACTGCATAAATGTGCACCGCTGCACCGCATTTATGCACCTCATCCTCCCCCTATTCATTCCCATCCCCCCGCTTCTCCTGGCCCCCGTTTCCCCTTACTCCGACCTCTCCTCTCCCGCCACCACCATCGGCTACTCCGCCCTTGCCTTGGCATTCTGCAGCTCCCTCCACCCCTCTGCCCCCGCGGTCCGCAGAAGAGCGCGCCCTCCGCTCTGCCTCCACGTCCTTCTCCCCGTCCTCTCCTCCCGCTCCCTGCCCCTCTCTTCCGCCTCTTCCCCCCCCTCCCGCTCCATCCCACTTCTCCTCGCCTCCTTGCCCCGCTCCTCGTGATCCTGATCCTGATCCTGATGGTGTTGTGAGGGTCCCCCTTTGCCGCGGTGGGGACTCGGGAAGGCCGAGCCAAGTCGAGGGGGGGGGAGGGAAGGAGGAGGCATTAGAGGTGGGGTGTAGGGAGGAGGGAGTTCGTCGGATGTGGTGACCAGTCTGTGTGTATGTGTGTTGCAGGATTACGTTTACACTTAACAGAGGGCGCTGTTCAGTCATTCGGCAACGGTTGGCAGAACTGTCCTCCCGTGCGCGACAGGATTGCGTGGCGGCGGAGTTCGTTTGTGACCAAACTTCGCAGCAGTTGCGCAGACCAGCCTATCGGACAAACTTTTCAAGATGCACCGGTGGCGTGTACTTACCAGGATTCGCGTTGCCCTTCCCAAGCCTGAAACAACAACTCAGTGCCCGACCCCCGCCTCGATTGAGAGCCTCCATTTGAGCTAGCTGTGGAATTCTAACGGTCTCGGTTGCGTGGTCTGAGCGAGTGTATTGGGAGCAAGTGTGACCTTTGCAAGGGACACGATAGCAGCAGACGCATTGCAGGTAATTGTCAAGCGTGGTGATCGGTAAGGTTATGCCCATCCCTTCCGAGACGCCGCATGTCAAAACACGCGGAGTTCCCAGGACCTTATTCTCGGCGACTTTGGCATATCTTGCACGCTTGGCGAGCTGTGCTTGTTTCTCTGTCACCTTCGACTGTGCTGCCAAATGCTTGCCGTCAAACAATTCGTTGCAGCGGATCTTCCAAAGAGTTGTTGAGATGAATGTCTGGGTCGTTGGATTCGGCACGCCATACGGCTAACATGAGTTCGAGACGCTGGTTCTGTGCACGCTCGCGTGGTTAGCGACGTCGAAAAGGGTGACCTGTTGAATGTTCGAACGTGCAATGGTGGGCAATGAGGAGGAAGAGGAGGGAGAGGAATGGCATCGGGAGAGGAATAGGCAGGCGAGGAAGCCGATGACGATGAGGACAACGACGACGAGGGAAAGGAAGATGAGGAGGGAGGAGGACGAGGAGACATGGATGCATGCGCCAATTCTTGACCCTGATTGGACCTGCCGTGTCCGATGTTATTGTTGGTGCAGCCGTGTGAATGTCATCGTCCGAGTCGGGCCACCATGCCCCCCCGTTCCTGCTTCCTCCGCGCCCCGTGCTTGCAGTTGAGTTTGGAGGGCGATGGGCAGCAGCAGGGATGCCCGCAGCTCAATGACGTGCTGGCTCCTCATGTCGGCGCCCGCCCCCCCGGAGCAGCCTGGCTCTGAGTACGCAGGCGAACAGAGCTTCGCGAAGACCGTCGTGGGGTCGCCGATGTACCTCAGCCCAGAGATTGTCAATCAGGAGCGGCTGCCTCTCCTTCGCCTCTCTCGCTGGCCAGCCAAGGTAAGACAGGAAGGTAACACCACACACGGTTGTCGTTTCGGAAGCCGGGCAAGGGCTGCTAAATCCGTGGTTGCTGAAATCGACCTCCGGGATTTTGTCGTCGTTCATCTGGGAAGAAGCCCGTTGACTGTTTCGCGTGCCACGCCTGATTCCGGGAAGTTGTTTTTTCCTTCCGGGAGGGCCGTTTTAGCAGCCACGGTTTTTGCAGCCCTCGCCCAGCTTCCGATCGTTACTGAGCGTTCATTGGTAAGATCTCCGTGGTCCTCTGTTGGCCAAAGGTGGAGGCCAGAGGGATGCCAGCGTGGCCAGGGGCTGTTGACTCTAGGATGCTCACTCCCTTGCGGTGGTTGCTGCGGTGATAGGGGGTACGTGGTGCCTGGGTGGTCGGTCGGGGATTGCCAGGTGCTCATTTCTGACGGCTGGGATGTTCGGTACCAGCGGTTGCTTATTTAATCGCTTCGCTCATTCCGCCGGCCCATAATGTCGCACCGTGGTCGCCTGTCCGAGTGGTCGTTTGCAGTGTGGAGCTGCGGCGTCGGGAGCTGTGTAGTGTTGGGGGCGTTCTTGGGGCCCTCTTGGGCCGCCCTGGAGGCCTCTGGGGCCGTCTTGGAGCCGTCTTGGGCCGTCTTGGGGCCCTCTTGGGGGCCTCTTGGGCCCTCTTGGGGCGATCTTGGAGGCCTCTTGAGCCGTTTAGGGGCGTCGGGGAACCGAAAAGGTTAAAACGCCCAAATCTGTCCAACACCAAAGGAAAAGCACAGGTTTTTGCCTCTTGGGGCCCCCTTGGGAGTTCTCTTGGAGGCCTCTTGGGGCATCTTGGAAGCTTATTGGGCCATCTTGGAGATGTCTTGGGCCGTCTGGAGGCCATCTTGGGCCGTGTTGGGGGCGTTCTTGGGGCCCTCTTGGGCCGTCTTGGAGGCCTCTGGGGCCGTCTTGGAGCCGTCTTGGGCCGTCTTGGGGCCCTTTTGAGGGCCTCTTGGGCCCTCTTGGGGCGATCTTGGAGGCCTCTTGAGCCGTTTAGGGGCGTCGGGGAACCGAAAAGGTTGAAACGCCCAAATCTGTCCAAAGCCTAAGAAAAAGCATTGATTTTTGCCTCTTGGGGCCCTCTTGGGAGTGCTCCTGGAGGTCTCTTGGGGCATCTTGGAGGCTTGTTGGGTCATCTTGGAGACGTCTTGGGCCGTCTGGAGGCGATCTTGGGCGCCGTGGAGCGATCTTCGGGCGTCTCGGACCTCTCTTGGATTGTGTTGGGGGCCTCTTGGGGCCCTCTTGGGGCGATCCTGGAGGATCGTGTGCGTGTCCCGGGCGTGTCCCGGGCTCCTCCCGGGGCACTTTTGATCCAGGGACCCCCAGGGGCCGCCCCGCGCGCGCGAACTAGAAATACTGTTTACCAGTTACCGGAGATCTTAGCACGCCTCTGGCCCGTTGGGCCGGCGAATTGGGAGAAGGGCTCCTCAAAAAACGTCTGGCGACGCGTATACGTATATCGAACAGGTTTCAAATAACCCCATGCTGCGGATAAGAAACACCCAGGGATAATCAAGTTCGGGGTCTTCGGGGAGATAATAAAAGTTGCCCGCCAGAGCCAGCATAAAGAGATATCAAGAGGAAAACGCCAAAGATATCTTGAGAATCCTTGGTCTTTGGCCCTCTATGAGACATCCTCAACAATGATTTCTCTCGGCTGAGACATCCTCAACGAATTGCTTGTTTCGCTTGAGACATCCTCGAACTATTTGTCTGTTTCGCTTGAGACATCTTCGAATTATTGCTTATTTCGCTTGAGACATCCTTGAAATCATTGCTTGTTTCGAAAAACCTACTAAGGCTAGGGCGCACCCTCGAGCGCCCACTTGCGCTGGAGCCGCTCGGAGAGCGCCTCTACAACAGGCTCGGGCTCAAGCTTCGGGCGCTTGCCGCTGTCGTCCTCGGGCTCGTCGTCCTCGGGCTCCTCGTCCTCTGGCTGCGGTGCGGACTTGCGGCGCTTGGCTTTCTGGTGCAGGAGGTAGAAGCAAAAATCCAAAATTGAAAACTTATTAGATTTAATGCGTAAACGCTTAATGAAAATTAAAATTTTCATCTGCGCTCATGTGCTTAGTTTTCCCCGGATAATCAACCCCAGCGATAAACAAGTTCAGGGCGCCAGAGGGAGGAGGAGAAAGAAAGGCAGAGACAAGTTTTCGCTTTGCTTGAGACATCCTCGACAAGTTTTCGCTTCGCTTGAGACATCCTCAAATAATTGCTGGTTCCGCTTGAGACATCTTTGAAATATTGACCGCTTGGTTTTAGGCTGCCTCCCAAAATTATTGGTTTCGCTTGAGACATCCTGAAAAACGTGTTCGCTTCGCTTGATGTTGTTATCTCAGCATAAGAAGGAAGTAACCTCGATGGCGAACTTTCCCAGTGATAATGCAATTCGGCCTCCGCGCCCTCCGCCTATATTTGAAACCCTTCTAGGCCGACGATAAAAAAAAAACAAAACTCTAACGACTTAAGGGGGGGGGTACATTATTATCGTGGGCATGGGGTTACGCAAATCGACACCATGTTTGCCAGCGTGGACCCCAACTTGTGAGTTATGCCATTGTGAACGTGTAAGCTATGCGATGCCATCGAATTTCCTTCGGCCCATCCCGCCAGCGTGCCCGGGTTGGGTCTGAGTTCTCAGGGATGCTTATTGGGGTCTTTTCGGAGCGCTCTCGGATGCCTCTTGTGGCCAGTTGTTGGGGGCCCTCGTGGGAGCTTCTTGGAGGCTTGTGGGGGGCCTCTTGGGACGTCCTCCTGGGCCCCTCTCGTGGCCGAGGGCTCGAAATGTCCGCTCGGGTCCCCCATCTGCATCACAGTGTCTGCGTGCACCACGGCGCTTGTGTACACCACAGCGCCTGCGTACACCACAGCGGCCGTCTGCCGCAGAGCACCAATGTACACCAGGTGCCCGCGTGCACCACAGCGCCTGTGCACACCACGGCGCTCGTGTGCACCACAGCAACCGTGCGCAACAGAACACCGTTGTTGCACATAAAAGTTCGTAAGGAATCCTTCTGACAAAATGCATCGCCCCGCACCAATCCCACCTCGTGCCCATGTCCTCCCGAGTCCCCCCGCCTCCCCCCACCTCCTCCCATCTTCCCTCTGTCAGCCTCGTCGTCCTCCTTCTCCTCCTCCCCCCTCCGCACTTGCGGGCCGCAGTTCGTGACATGTTCGTTGCGTGTTGCAGAATTGCGGGCCGTCTCATCAAGTTTGGATGTACCGGCCGATCCTCGATTTGATGCCCGTCCCCTGCGAGGCTTGTTCTTGCCTGTTCAGCTTGCCTGTTGCCGTTGCTAGCAATCGGCCGCGCTCGCAGGTCAATCCTGCCGGGGGCATGCTTCGTCGACGGCGCGTTTTGCGAGGAGGCTAGTTGCGTGGAGTCTTTCGGTCCGCTCCCACCTTTTCCCCCCCCGAAAAAAGCCCCCCCCACCTCCTCCCATCCCCTCCCGCGTGCACCCCGGGCCCCCCCGAGTCCCCCCACCTCCTCCCGCGCCCCCCCGAGTCCCCCCACGAATTCCCACGCCCCCCAGGCTCTTCCCGCGTCCTGCCGCCCATCTCTCCAGACAAAAAGAAATTCATTCCACGCTCCCCCACGTCATCCCGAGTTTCCCCACCACTTCCCGCGTCCCCCCACCTCCTCCCACCCTCCACGCCCCCCCCAGCCCCCCCGCCTCTTCCCACGCCCCCCCCCACTTTCCTTCATAGCGGACCCTTTCCCCCCACCTACTCCCGCTTCCTTCCAAGTCCTCCCGCGCCCCCCCACCTCGTCCCACCTCCCCCCATTCACCCCGCCTCTTTCCCAGTGCTCCCACCTCTTCTCGCGTCCCCCCGCCTACTTTCACATCGTCCCGCCTACCACCATATCTTTCCCTCTCCTTTCCGAGTCTTCCCACCCGCCCATTTTCCCCCGCCCTTTCCAATGTGCCCGCGCGTCCCCCAGCGCCCCCTACGTCCTCCCACCTACTTTCGCATCTTCGAATTTCTCCCCCGCGTTTTTCACGCCTCTTTCCGAGTCCTCCCACGTCCCCCCCACATTTCTTCACCTCCTTTCATTTTCTCCCACCTCGCTTCCCCCCACCACCCCTTCGCGAGTCCTGTCTAACAGCGAGTTCACGACTGAACGGTTTTACCCGTTCGTGTTCTGGTCGTTGTCCATTCGGGTTCTCCTTTGCCGGTCGGGGGGCCTGCTTACGGCCTGCGCGGCCTGGCTGGTGGCATCGATGGCTCACCCGTTCGACGCGTTCAACGCGAGGCGCCCGGAACTCGTCACCAGACAGATCGCTGAAGCCATCGCAAGGCGCGGCGTCGTCGGCAATCTTCTCTGGTACCCGATCGCGCTCGTGCGCGAACATGGCCACATGGTGAGCTCAGCAGCGCATTCGCGCCCATCCCCGCGATCGCGGGAGCGTCGCCCAGATAGGCCGGATTCCTTCCCCCTTGTCCTCCTCGTATTGTTCCCTTGCGTCCGGAAATTCCTGGAAGGGTTGGGCATCATGGAAGTTCCAAGAAGAATTGGGCATCATGGAGCGGGACCGCACGGCAGCCCATGTGTGGCACAAGGAGGTGAATGCGTGCCCGAAAAATCACCCATTTCCCAAACAGCCGCGGGAAGTGGCCATCCTCCTACTGTCCCAGGCAGAAATCCTCTCGCACGTCCCAGGTCGCAGCGCACTTGAAGGCATGCGCGGGCGAAGAGCATTTTGAAGAGCGGTATGCACTGCCAAATGCATGCATCCAGCGCCAGTGCCTTGGATTGGGACACGGTGATTGGGCAGCTATGGGGGGGGCGCCGAGTGCAACAAGAAACTCGGTCTTGGGGCGCCCGCAGCCTTTGCGAGGTCGTCGCTTTTCTCCGGGAGATCAATGCTGGCTGCCTGGCAAATCTAGCGCAGCGCTACCGTCAAGCCACGAGCCGCCCAGGGATCAGACCCAGC